CCTTAATGCTACCTCATCTTCAAGACCCAATTCAGATACTATCTCCTCTGTAAAACTTTCCTAGATATCCCCTAAATTTGGCTTTCCTTCACTTCTGATCACTAGCACAATCAATATACCTTCTTTTTTGCACTGCTTTTGTAACTGCTTATTTACATACTGACTCCCTCACTAGATTAAGAATGCCCTTAAGGAGGCAGGAATTTTGTCTTATCTTTTGCATACCCTAGCACAGTGCCTGGCCCCTAGTTGATACTCATGCATTTGATCAACTAATAAAGCATTCCCCCAAAATATGGAGCATAGGAAATATGTATACACACACACACATAAACATACATGAACATCACTGCTATACCAATGATTTTTTAAACAATTATTTCATGGAACAGCTAACAAGAAACCTGGACCATAGATACCAAGAGTGGCTACTTCAAGCCAAAACTAAGCCGAAGTCTCAGAGACAGGGTCTGAAAACAGTGGCGACAGGACACAATTCACAGAACCTTTCCCAGGGCAAAAAGCACAATTGCTAGATCTAATATAGGTCTTTTCAGGGGTGGCAGGTGAGCTCAGGTGATCAGAGCACAGGCTCATAACACCAAGGTTGCCAGTTTGATTCCCACATAGGCCACAGAGCTGCGCCCTCCACTAGACTGAAACAACCACTCGACTTGGAGTCGGGGCGGCCAGTTAGCTCAAGTGGTTAGAGTGCAGGCTCTTAACAAGGTTGCCGGTTCAATTACCACATGGGCCAAGGAGCTGTGCCCTCCACAACTAGACTGAAGACAACTACTTGACTTGGAGCTGATGGGTCCTGGAAAAACACACTGTTCCCCAATAAAATTTCTAAAAATATATAAAAAGGTCTTTTCAGAAGTATCAACTTCAATCATACAAGGACAGAAATACAATATAACTGGATATAGTCATCTTCCAAAATAAAACATACCCTGAGCAACAATAACTATTAACTTCCCAGCAAAAGTTTTTCTTTTCTAATAAGTGTTTGCACAAGCCATGTATACATACTATAACAGATTATATCAGCAAGAGAACACCTGTAGCCTAACAATGTAAGTTTTAAGGCAAAAAAAGATATGCATACAATGGATAAAGAAACTTCCCCTTATCAATACCCTTCTCCCTAACCACAAGACAAAAAAAAATAACTAAAAAAAAATGACTGACTCTCCTAAATAGGATTATTTTTTAAATAATTTTATGTTAACATCTAGTTAAAGTTCATTTTGCAAATGACAAAGCAAAGGCCTAGAAAGGATAAGTGATTTGTCCAAGGTAATACAATCAGTTAAGCAACAGGGCTACAACTAGAAAACCCTGATTTGGCTCAGAGTCCTGTGTTCATTCCTCTACACCAGTAGTTATCAAACTGTTAGTCTGAGGACTTCTTTAAGCTCTTAAAACACTTAAAAATTAAGAGAGACCCCAAAGAGTTTACTGTCTTTTAAGAACCACTGCTATAACCATATTACCTCCTCCAGAACAACTGCAGGTTTTATCAGTATCTATTAAACTTATTCCCTACAGATGGAGGTTAAACACCTTGCATATCATCTATCAAGCCAATCATAAGACAAGCATTAGAATATAGGTACAGAGAGATCCTACTTAGATACTCCTTTTACTACTCTGCTATATTCAACACTCCTAAAGGAAGATCTATGCATTGTTTTCCAATGGCTTAATTGTCCAAGAGGACATTCAAGGTCTTGGGGAAAGGACTTCACATAAACCCAAGAATTACCTGTATCCTAACACCCAATCAATGAATTTATGTGAAACAGGCACATAAATACACACAATTTTTTATCGCAAAAATTATTTCAGACATCTATATCTACATAGAAATTCTTTAATACTGTATTTTTCTTATCTCTAGAAATACAATATATAACTGAAAGCTCACAGCGAACTACACCAAGGGTTGCCAATAATGAGAACTGGCCTGATCAAAATTAAAGCCAGAAATGTCTTTCTTTTCAACCCAACCAATAACATAACCAAACACCTGGTATTTAAATGCTTTCGAAGCCCTTTATAAAATTTGCATCTACTCCCCCTCCACAGGCCTGGCTTAATGCTTTCCACAGTGGAAATACAAATACTTCACAGATTACATTTTTTAAAAATTAGGTTATTATGCAACTGATTGTGAACAACTGCCCTAACAGTGACTTTCTAAGACATTTTCTCAACATCTCTCAATTTAGACTATTTCTGCCTTTTTTTAATTTAAGACCAATAACAAGTAATACTGCTGTCGGCTTTTCAAGTAATCAGTTGTTGTAGGGATTAAAAAGACAAGTCCTATGAAATTTCCAAGATCTTTATATGAAAATAAATTAAAGTTCATCTGTCAATCAGAAGTTGGTCTTTCATATTGCCAAAAATTTGAAGAAAAAAGCAATCATATTTAAAATAAAACAATTAACATAAAAACCTTTCAAAATAATAAGAAAACGTTTAGAGTGAGCCACTGATTTTTCAATGTATGATTTAGTCAGGTCATCAGTTTATTTTCCTCCTTTTTTGCCTTTTGGCTATTTTTTTCACCACAGAATCACAGAAATTTTCTTTTTTAAAAAACACAAGTAAAATTCAGAACTAATGAAGTGCTCTACAGAAGATCTAAAAGAAGATTTAAAAATTGGAACTACTGTGTAATATACAATTAATGATAATGCATAGAGCTGTTCATATTATTTGTCTCACATCTGAAGAGAATCAAGAGTGATTTGGTATTGTGGGTTCAATTCACTCAAGCATTTACCTGTTAGATTATCCTTTAACTATGATTATGCCTTGAGATGAATGCCACTTCAGCCTGAATACCCACTTGGTGCTCTTTCAGAGTAAATAATCAGAGAGCATCACACTTCTTAAAATTCTCTACATTTATATATGTAGTTCTTCACAAGGAGTTTTTCACGTAAAGACTCTTCTGTATTTAAATGTTTCAGTTATCTCACTATCTCACCTGACCACAAGAGGCAAAATATCAGAACAGCTTCAAACTCAAATACCTACAAACAATAGTTAACATTAACTTCCATTGTAATAGTAGGGCTAAATTCAAGTGGTCATAATCACGTTAATCTGGCAGCCAAAGGAAGCATTAATGCCCTGTGGTTAAGAACATAAGCTCTGGAGTCAAGACCTGGTTCAACTGCAACTCCACCAATTACAAGATGTATAACTTTTGGTCAAGTTCTTTGATCTATCTGTGCCTCACTTTCTTCCTCATCTGTAAAATAGGGAATACCAAGTACCTACCCCATAGGGTTGTTTTGAGAATTAATCAAGATTATACAGGTAAAGGTCAACAATGAGCACTCAATTGTAGTTATGATTATCACTCTTACCACCAAGATCTACAAAAATTCAAGACCCATAAGGAAAACTGACCCTGGCAAAAATTAATTCTATTCAAAAGTCTATAAATAGTTAATTTGTTCACCATAAAGAAAGGGAGAAAATCTATTCAGAAATCCTATAGTTTTAAATGCAGACTTTGTGAGGTGCAGTAAATTCTAGAGGGCATATTTAACTGTAAGGTACCCCCTTCATGTAGAGGAACATGAGCACTTGATAATAGCCAGCCAACAAGTTGTACTGGGTACCTACTATATGTGTCCAATACCCCATAAATAAAGGTCTCTTATACGTGAGCCAATTAACGCAAATTCAGAAACCAAGGCCACAACTAAGCATCTATAATCTAAGAACTAAAGTGTATTTTTTTCCTCAAGGGAAAGAAAACATCTATCTACTTCTTGTTAAAGCAGAAAAATAGGCATAATAAGTATCACAGGCTCATTCCCAAATTCTATATGCTAGCTAGAGTGCCCTGAAAATGTATACCGTCCTAATATTTAATCAATGGCAAATTTTGCCAACTACGAATGCAGTTCTGATCCATGCTCCCTGCAATTTTCTTTATTTTGCCTCTACACGACAAGGATACACCTCAGAAAAATTACTTAATTCACAAGGGATAAAAAGTCAAATGCCAAACTGCCTGAAAAGGAAGGCATCTACCTGTGTAAAAGTGGTATACATTTTATATTTAACAACCCATATTTTTAGACACTATCAAGAGGCAAATGGAAGCACAAGAGAAAAACAGCCTCAACCTAATAAACGTGCCTGATTGCTAAGAGGTGGCCTGTGAGACACAGCTTCCCTTGCAATAAAGCTGACGTCCTATCAACCCACGTTAACCTGGCTCCTCATTCACAATGGAATAAGTAAATAAACAAAAATAGGGTCTAATTACTTTTGCTCGAAATCTGCCCAGAAAGTAGAGAAACACTTGAGATCTGCCTTACCACCCATTAAAGCTGGACTTCACAAAAAGTAGTACACTAGGGTTCTCTGGAAGCAAAACCCTGCGTCAGCATTCCCTGGCCTAGAGGTAAATCCAGGGATACCCGTCAGGATCTGGATGAGAAAAGGGATGTAAATACCTGGCAAGATCCACCGTTCAACCAAAATACGGGCTTGTCACAAGGGGCTGCAGAAAAAAAAATATCCTCAAGGACGGGGTACTTCCCGTCTCCCGCAGCGTAAACGCCACTAAGTCGTCCCAGGATCTCACATCCTTCCCCACACAGTTTCTAGGCCCCAAAATTGGGAAGAATGACCGGGATACCAAAAACCGCCTCTGACTCTGGGGGTCTCAATGCCACCGGCAAAGAATAAATAGTGAAAGCCAACTAAGCTTCGCCAGGTAGGGGTGGTTGGAGTAAACGTCCAACACGCCAGGCCGCGCCTCCCCCCCACTACCCCCGCCACCCCCACTCCCTGCTGGAACATACCGCGGAAATCCCGAAACCCTTCTCAACGAGAAAATGATGTCTCTTTCCGCTAAACAACAGATAGGCTTGACTCACCAAGCCAACGCTTTCTCAAACACCCGACTCAGAAGGCGAGTAGGCCTAGACCGCTAGGACCCGTGAGACGGGGTTGCGTTTTACCTCATGGGCTCAGCAGTCATGTTTTCGCTTCAACGCCTTGTGGGCTTCAGCGACGGCAGGGCGCCACTCTGCGCTCCCCGGCGCCAGATTACGATAGAAATACAATGCGCTCTTAGTCGTCACTATAGCTGGTGCTAGATCCTCCCCACAGCTCAAAGGCCGCTACCACTGCCACAGCTGCAGGAGCCGCGAAAACAAAGCGACACCGCCACCGCCGCCATTTTGTTGGGCCGAGGCTCAGGCAGGAGAATTGGCGCGTCCTCCCTCTTTCTCTTTCCATCACCCATTGGCTACCTCCTCCGCAGCGCAGATTCTTACTGGCTACGGAAATTCACCTTTTTTGGGGGCCTGTTGCTAAGGCGGTCTACGTCATTTGATTCTCTCCACCTTTTCGTAGAGGGTACAATTTAGTCCCATTGACATGAAAGTGCTAGTGACTATTTTGACTTAATTCTGAAAATGTGTTTTGTTCCATCCTCTTTTCTTGACATACTGACAAAATAATAGCAACTTACATTTATTGAGAATTTACTATATGCCTAGCACTATACTAATCTTTATCCGGATTATCTCATGTAATCCTTATATCCTTTGAGGCTGATAGATGCTTGTTACCTACATTTTCTAGATGTGGAAATTAAGACACAAAGTCCCACAGTAGTAGAGCCAAGATTCAGACCAGATACCACACTCTTAACCACAAATCTATACGGAGATCCTACATATTTTCTTTCCCATATTCCCGGTTATCATCAAGTGCTTTGCTTTCCTAGGTGTTTTACATATAATATTTGGCATGCCATATATACTTATATACATGACGTAAGACAAACTTGAGATCTGCATACAATTCTTTCGGTATTGAATAAATTCAAAGCTGCCACTTGGAACACACATGCACACAGTTTCCCCATTGTGATGTAATGCTTAGCTCACAAACCAACCCATCCAGTTCTATTTACTCATTACAGAGGTTTAGGTGGATGATCTCTCTTTTCATGTTCTATAATTTGTCCATTAGTAATCTCTGCAAGTCACAAATCAGTTCTCTAAAATCGAATCGTTTCAAATTTTATTTCCAAGTATATTCTGCCATACATGTTTTAGTTCATTCTATTTGCTTTTCTAGACATTGGCAAGAACTCCTGTTGTGTTTAGGTAACAGGGTTGCTGCTTTCTACTGGAATAGCAAATGATGGGCCTTTTCTGAACCGAATACTTTTTAATGAGCTGATAGACTCAGGCAATGTTTTAATCAAAAGAAGCTTCTACACATTTCAAGTTATCTTTCAAATATTCAGGGACCCTTGCCAACTGTAGAAACCAGACTACTGTATCTGGTATATTGATTCTCTTCTGTCTTCCACTCATTAAATATCACTTAAACATACAATTTAGAGAAGTTACATTTTCCTCCCTGGTAAATGCTATTAATTTGAAAAGATACCAACTTCATTACAAGACATTACACAACTTTGAAACTAGCTGTTGGTTTAAGACTTCTTAACACTAAGCAGCTTTAAATAACAAATTCCACAAATAGAGAAACAAAAAAATTATAATCAAAGAATTTCAAAAATATATAATAATTCATTATATATTTGTCAATTGTAAGAAAGAAAATTTCTATGGTGTTAAAGGATGACTAACAAAGTTTTACTGGTATAGGTGTATTACTTTCAATAGATGATTGTCAAGGAGTTTCCTTCAGCTGTATTTTAGAAAAAAATCACTGGTAAACATCTCTTTCACATTTTTCATCAAATTGTGACAGAAATCAACATAGAACCATTTCTTGGACTCTTGAACATAAGTATGTAATTTTTGAATTTGCTTCTTTGCTTTGAAAGAAAGACTAGGTAATTTACCTTGAAGAGAGCAAGTTGAATGAGACAATACATGCCTTCATAATTGTTAATAAATACTTTCGCAAAATATGACTGTTTTATGTCAAAATCATAATGCTATGGAAATATCAATGAGATGTTTAAATGTATATATCCTTAATCCAGAAATTTAACTTCTAGGAATTTACCCAACAGATACACTCAACATAAGAAAAATGAGATGTCCCCAAGACTATTCTCTGCAGAATTGTCACACCAAAGCTTTGGAAATAGCATAGACATTCCTCAGTAGGGTACTGGTTAAATAAATTATACTATCCATACAACAGAATATCATATAGCTCCTTAACATATTTTTTTTCGAAAACCACTTGTGTTTCTATGCAGTAACAATGACCAATCCGAGAAGGAAACTAAGAAAACAAACCCACTTACTGTAGCATCAAAAAGGATAAAATACTTAGGAATAAACATAACCAAAAAGGTAAAGGACTTGTACACTGAAATCTTAAAACATTGCTAAAAGAAATCAAAGAAAATGCAAATGAATGGAAAGGTATCCCATCTTCATGGATTAGAAGATTTAATGTTGTTAAAAAGTTCACATTAGCCAAAGAGACCTACAGATTTAATGAAACCCTATCAATATCACAATGGAATTCTTTTCAGAAATAGAAAAAAAAACCTAAAATTCATATGGAAGCTCAAGGGATGCTGAATAACCAACACATTTTGGGTTGCTTTTATTAAAATTAAGTTATTGGATACCATTGGTTAATAAAATTGTATAATTTTCAGGTATACAAGATTATAATTCAACATCTTTGTCACCCCCAAAATCTAGTTTCCTTCCATTACCATATATTTGACACCATTTACCCACTTTGCCTTCCTCCTACCCCCTTTCTGATGGCCACCATTCTATTGTCTGTAACTCTGAGTTTGTTTTTGTTTTGTTAGTTTATTTGTTACTTTTTGTTTTATACTCCACATATGAGTGAAATCATAAGATTTTTGTCCTTTTCCAAGTCAACAAAATCTTGAAAAAGAAGAGTAAAGTTGGAGACCACACATGCCCTGATTTCAAAACATACCACAAAGCAACAGTAATCAAGACAGTGTGGTACAGTATTGGCATAAAGACAGATATATGAGGTGTGTTCAAAAACTACAGTGAGTGTTTAAGTAAAAAAAAAATATATATATATATATTTATATATATATATAAACAGAAAAAGACACATTGCCATTAATCCCCCTCTCTTCAAACACACTTATCCCATCATTCTGGCCACTTTGTGAAGCAGTTCTGGAAGTCCTCTTTCGTGAGTGTCTTTACGTCATTGCTATCGGTATACAGCAATTTCTGTAAAATAAAAATATTATGATGTGTACTCATCCACCTTATTCACCTGACCTGGCAGTGTGACTTCTGGCTCTTTCCCAAAGTCAAAATGACCATGAAAGGTAAACATTTTGAATCGATTCAGGACATTGAGGCAGCCACAACAGCACAACTAAAGACACTCATGAAACAGGGCTTCTAGAACTGCTTCACAAAGTGGTAAGAATGATGGGATAGGTGTATATTTTAAAAGATTTTTTGAGGGAATTGGGGGAGGAGTACAGCATTGGAGAATCAGGGAAAGGAGACAGAAAAGTTACTGTCCTTTTTTGTTCTTCAGTCTAGTTGTGGAGGACATCGCTTCACTGGCCCATGTTGGTATTATCATTGTGCACTTCCCGGGTAAAGCAGATCAGTCACCAGGCACTGGATGGCTGCACACAGCAGCTCTTGGCAGCTCATGATGGCGGCCTGCCGAATACAACAGCTGCCAGCCATTCACGGTAGCTTATGGCAGCACACTGCAGCTTCGTTGCAGCCTACACCGTCACCGACGATTCATGGCACCCCAGCTCCAGGTCGAGCTGTTGTTCACCATCTTAGCTGTAGAGGGTGTAGCATCACTGGCCCACATGTGTGATCCGAACCAGGGCCCTGCTGCTCAGAGCTGGCATCCCAAGCCAACTCATAACCAAGGTGCTACTCGGACGGCCACGGGATAAGTGTATTCAAAGTGAGGAGGAGTATTTGAAGGGGATTAATGGCAATGTGTCTTTTACTGTAATAATTTTTCTTATTTATACATTCACCGTATGTTTTGATCACACTTTGTACAGACCAATGGAATGGAAAAGAGAGCCCAGAAATAAGCACTTGCATATATGGCTGTTGACTCTGAGAATGATGTGCCTAAGAAGGATTTGGCCTTTTGAGCTTCTTTTGCTCAGCCGCTCCAAACTCTTGGGAGTGTACTTTCTCTTCTAATAATGGCCCTTGAGCCATTCTCTACTGTTTGAGCCCACTTCTGCTTCTTTGAAATGTATTTTTTCTTTTAATAAACTGTCCTTTTCTGCAACTTTAAAAAAAATAAGGACTCTAGGTGGCTAATTGGGCTCAAATTTTTAAACAGAGTCTAGCAGTCATTTCTAAACGGGCCTCTTATGCTTGCTGTGCTTCAGGGAAAAGCTCTACTGAGCTGCCTACCTCCTGCACTGTGTTCCTGACATCTGAACCAATTCTTATAAAGGAGCTCCTAGACTCATAAATCAACCATTGAGCTGAAGACTTGCCCCAGCCAACCAGAGCTGCACAGCTATATTATCATGTGCCTCTTTACCAACCACTCAGAGTGGCTCCAATCTGAGCAATCAGGACAGTGCTTTTTGGACCAATCAAACTGTGAGGATTTGGAGTCCTTATTTGCATAAGAATAAACCAGTCAAAGATCAGGGGAGGGAACTCTTCTCCATATAAGCCAGCTTCATCTCTATCTCTGCGCATACTTTCAGTTTCCATAGAGGACTATGTTTCCCTAGCTGAGCTACAACATTGGCTAAAGCTGTGACACTGGAACTGCAACACCGGTGCTGAAACACTAAAGTGGTTTCATCCAAGCCACTTCGCACAAGCTGCCTCACCTGAGCCACCTTGCCCAAACCACTTAGGCTGTACTGTGTCACACCTGAGCTGTCTCATATCCACGCTGTTCTACAATCAAACTGTTTCACAATTGAGCTATTTTCACTGAGTAAACTTTTCTCTTTCACCACATTGAATTAGTGATGACAACCTTTGGTTAACATGGCCAAATGATTTTCAAAAAGGGTACCAAGACTACACAATGGAAAAAGGGCAGTCTCTTCATCAAATGGTGTTGAGAAAATTGGATATCCACTTACAAAAGAGTGAAGTTGGACCCTTAACTTACACCATGTATAATAATAACCTCAAATAATAACCTTAACTTACACCATACATAATAATAAAGACCTAAACCTATAGAATTCCTAGAAGAAAACAGGGGGAAAACTTCAGGACATTGA